CTCTCTCTCTCTCTCTCTCTCTCTCTCTCTCTCTCTCTTTCACTCTTGCTCTTCACGTCTCTCCAGTCCCTACTGATCCCGATTCATTTCAATTCATTGTTGCTCGTTCGACTTCGCCTTCAACATAGAGGCGTGTCTTCTCTCTCTCTCTCTCTCTGTCTATATATATATATATATATATATATATATATATATATATATCTATCTCTGTCTCTGTTTCTGTCTGTCTCTATCTTTCATCGAGACTCGATCACTCGATTCGGATTTCACTTTGTCACTATCACAATCCACGTCGTGTCACCGGTTGCGCCTCTTTCCTGCTTCTCGCTAATAGGTCGTTGCACGAGATCACCAGGATTATGCTACGTTAATTGGACTGGCCAGGGCCGTCGCGAAACGATTGTCCTTCGCGTACATCGTTACCGAACACTGACTCATATTTCAATGTTATTCTCTTTGCCACCCCCCACCCTCTCTCTCTTTCTCTCTCTCTCTCTCTCTCTCTCTATATATATATATATATACATACATCTTTCTCTCTGTCATTCATTCTCTTTTTCTTCTTTTTATTATAAATTTTCTTGTCGTCCTTTTTTTCCCTTGATTTATTTTTTCTTTTTCTTTTTTTCTTGTTTTTTCTTTTCTTTTTTTCTTTTTTCCTCTTTTTTTTTTTCTTTTTTTTTTTTTCTTTTTTTTTTCTTTGATACAAAAGTTATGTCACTGAAGTATTATACCTACCTCGTTACTCTTTGAGTGGCACCACCGAGCACGGAACCCTCTTCTTTTAAGCTTGGATAAATCTGCAAAAGAAATCCGATCTGAATTATATAAATACATATGTATGCATGTAGGTATATATGTATATAGTATGCATATATATATATATATATATATATATATATATATATATATATGATTTGTAATCAATTGATTAAAGGACAATACAGAAAACTCGAGAATTCTTCTTTTATTTAAATGAAGTTTAATTAACATCGCGAAGAAAAATATTATTAATCGGACTGTTGCGTATTCGCTTCTTCCCTTTTTTTTTCTTTTTTTATTATTATTATTATTATTATTATTATTATTATTATTATTGTCATTAGCATTATTATCATTATTACTTTCTTTTTATCGACGAGCTAAACGAGAGAAAGAAATTAATGAACGTTTTTAATTTTCGTAAATAGTATGGATATTTTAATAAAGAGCGTGCGAAATTTTTTCTTTTTTTTTCTTCTTTTTTTTTTTTTTAGGAAAAATAGAAGACATGTGTGTATGTGTGTGTGTGTGTGTGTATGTGTGTTGTACGAATGACTCCTTTTTTACTTTTTCATTTTTCTCTTTTCAATTTAACGCGACACCATCCAACGAATCTCATTGAAATCGATCGTTAAATTGACTTTGAAGAGGAAAAAAAGGTGAGGGGAAGAAAGAGCGAGAGAGAGAGGGAGAGGGAGAGAGAGAGAGAGAGAAAGAGAGAGGAAGCTAAGTTCCCTCAAAATCGTTCCTCCTTCCTAAGGCTTGTTTTACGAGGTACAATTTTTAAGGGTAAAACGACGACGCTTGCTACGAAAAAAAAAAAAAAAAAAAAAAAAAAAAGAAAGGAAATAAAAAAAAAAGAGAAAAAGAACGAAAAAAAGATAGAAAGAAAGAAAGAAAGAATGAAAAAAGGGAAGCCGAACGAAAGAAAGGAAAAAAGGAAGGAGAGAAGCTTTTAGGGCTACTATTCCCTATCGTAAACAGGCTCGATTTTTATTGCACTCTAGAATTCAAATGGACGTTTCTATATATCGAAAAATTCACTAGAAAAGAAAGAGAAAGGGCGATAGAAAGAGTTCGATAAAGAGAAGAATAAAAAAAAGAGAGAGAGAGAGAGAGAGAGATAGAGAGAAAGGGGACGAGGAAGGATACGAAATGTTAGAAAGAGATGGAATAACGGTAATTCTCTCGACATGAATGAGAGGAGTTAAAGGTTAGTTAAAAATAGAAAAGTAGAAGCAGAAAGTCAGGAAGAAAGATAGAAAGTAAGGAAGAAACAAAAAGGTTCTCACAGAAAGAAAATGAGAGACCGACACATATATATATATATATATATATATATATTATATATGTATATAGATATGGGGAGAAGCAGTAAGATAAAAAGAGAAAGAATAATAGAAATGCAAAGATAAAGGAAGAATGATAAATATCAAAATATTTATCTATCCGAATAGATAGATGGATAAATGAATAGACAGATATAGAATATCCAAGTACAGAAGAGATGAGAGTGTACCATGAAAAATTAGATCCAAGCTAGACGGAACGACACTCGTGCTAGCGCTCGCGTTACCGAAGTTTCTCTATTGTCTGGGTGCGTACAGTTGTAAAATTAAATTGAACCTACAGGTGGCATCCAGGGACGAGTAGGAATAATTTAAATTTTAAAGCAAGCCCCCGTTGTGTCCCGTGGCAGCCGGGAATTTCGTGGCACGGGAGTTTGCTGCGAGCTGTC